TGGAAACCCGTAGCCAGGGGCGCGCCTGCTATACGTTACCTTAAGGCTGTGAAGGTCTGCGACTGGGTCGTATGACATGACACGGAACGACGACTACGACTATCATTACTGGTATGACAGAGATAAGTATCCCAGGCTAGATCACCGAGCACCAACTGACATTAAAAGTGTCGGTCGTGCCCCAGAAGCTGCTCCAGCTCAAGGCCACACAAAAGGTATTTACTAAACTAAATTCATTTAAACACCAATAATACAACGGTTACTCCAAACCAGATCATTAGTACAGTTTCATCATTAATCATCACCATCAGGCTCTGCTGTGCTGCATGTGAGCTTCATTATTTGGATCTCTACGTGAAGCTTGCGGTTTTACTAGAGCTTCTTCATGTATTCGATGTATCGTCTGACTCATGATTGAAATTAATTAGTGATGATATATGAATAATGTGAATGCTGATTGCGTCTGCCTGTTGCCAATTTGGAATGTATAGATGAGGTATACTCATCATTTTATTTGTGTGCTTAAAATGTATGATGGTATAGATGAATTCAATACGTGCTTTGTATTGTACGTGAACCAACCGTTTTAAAGTGGAATGAGACTCACTCCCTGATACAGAGCCGCCTGTTGCATTATATACATATATATTGGAAGCCACCAGCCTCCCAGCTCCGTTGCTGAAAGGGGCGAGAGTGATGAATATCTATAGGTATGCATAGTGTATAAAGAGAAGATAAATTACGGAATATTGAGATATTCTGTTCCCCACGCGAATACTTGATCCTGATGAATGAAGTTGGTGGAATTGCGAGTGAAGGAGTTTTGAAACCAAGATTCTGAACTTTAATATGCGGTCAAGTGAAATCAATTGAGAATAATTGTCGGTGATAGGATCAAGGATTACATTACTCGTTATTGGTTTTGATTACTCGTAATTACAGATTCGAGTTGTAATTTCATGGTTGGGTTGGTTATCAAGATACTGTGATAGGTTATTACAGTAGAAGAGGTTGATATTAAGTATATTATATAAGAGAAGACTATTTTTGTGATTAATTATATATTTTTTAAATTAAAAATTCGATAGTGTTGACAAGTTATAAAGGATAAGAAAAGATTCTGATAAAATTGGAAAAAGCTCTAGTGTTCAAAAGTGATGAGTAATAATTAATTACACACAAGGTTTATTCTTATTCGAAACAAGTAGTATCAGATAATTTTGATCAGACGCTCGTAAAGGAGTAATATTTCACGTCTCATTTTATTTTAAATGGGAGAATAACTGAATTAAATATTATAATAAGAATAAAAAATGATATCTGACAGTTTTATAGTCTAAAGAATAGTTTCAATTACTATAAGTTTAACTTTAACAATGGAAACAATATTTTCGTCTAGGAAATCATCAATCATTTTGAGTCACTGGTCTAAATTGGTTTAAGGAAAGATGAAAAACTAACAAGCATATAATCTGACAAGCGTTGTTTATTTTTGTCACGTTATTTGATTAAAACCAGATTCAAATATATTTCTATGATATCGGCAATGGATAAAAAGCTTTGTAAGTCATTAAAGTCGAGTATGTGATCAACTGATCAGCAACAAGTTTTTTACTCTTCACAATACAAAGGTCACAAGTCCAATTGGCTTTTCAAGCTGCTCGATCAATCTAAAAGTTTTTTGCTCGACCGAACCGACCAGAGACCTGTTCATCGATCAGACTTTAAAACTTTACCTTTTTTCATGTAACCAACCAAAATATTACAATGTGCACTACAAAGCTTCTCACTCGTAAAATTTACATAAAAAAACTCTAAAAAAGTTCTCCCGTCGATAAAAAATAATATAGGAAAACTTTTTACTTGACTTGTTTTTTTGTGAAAAAAAAGCTAGCTGTAATCTCATTGTTTTAGTGTATTAATATGGGAAAATATTAGTACTTAAGTAAATATTCAACAATAGAAAAAATTAAGCATCTACTTTCGAGCTACCATCGCAGAGTCTAATCACTTAGCTCTTTCTTGAAATATTAAGCACTGTAATTTAGAATCATGATACAAGCTACGTTCAGCAGCTCTTCATAATAAAAACAACGGTGAACTTAAATTTTATACATTACAAAATAATCCTGAAAAATAAAGCATAAAAATTGAAATTCACAAAATTTTAAATTTAAATATTTATTTGCTAAATTTCTAAAATAGCTCCGAGAAATTATTTCCGATAAAAAAATTTCAATAAGTTTTATTTTGTTTGATAGTACTAAACAAATATTGTTAGAAAAATTTTCACACATATCCGTACTTTAGTCCATGAGTTCCGACATACAAGACGTGACAAAAATTTCAAGTAAATCTTATTTGAAAAGTTTTTGTCCCTGAATACAGCTAAGACTATAGTGAGAAAAAAGTAGCATTAAGTGAGAGTAGGTATGTTGCCTCGACGATCTAGTGGCTAGAACGTGCTCTGGAAACAAGACTCCTACTCCTATGAGAAAGGTTGGCGGTTTAAAACCATTACTCTTGGGCTAGACTTTCTTCAGAAGTAAACCTTTAAACCTAGCCTTTAATCCCTTTCTGGAAAAATTGGTTCAGTTTTTTTGTCCATGTTGTCGTCCTTCGAAGGGTCATTTTAAAGAAAGTACGTAGTAAGGTACTTTGATAACTTTCTTGCGTTTACGAGCATTCCACAATACTCGTAAAATATAAAATAGTAATTTTATAAAATTTTATTTCTTTGGATTGTCACCAACCGTATTGAATCTCCGAATGATATATGTTCTACGCTTTTAATCCATTTGGCGATCAAATTCTTCCAATGAAACAATATTTATTTCTATTATTCTATCACTTCGGCTGGAATTAAAACGCATCACATATGAACAAGCACTTGAAAGAATTAAAAAAAAAATAATCAACATAGTAAAATTGATTGACCAACGGATTAATCTTTGGTCTGAACTATTAAAACCGATGATAAGCCGTACGGGCGTTGATAAAGTTAGAAATCAATTAACGAGTGGCGATTGGATTGCGCGGTTAACCACAAGCGTTATTGTAGTTTAGTTGCTTCTAAATAACAGACATTGCTCGGAAACTGTTCATTCAATTAAATATTCCCTGTCTGACAACTTGGTAATTCCGAAGTCCGAAAATCAAAGTCGCTGCAGACCAATTAATTATAATTATAATTTATAATAAATTAATTAACTAAACCAACACGTAAGTGACTGAATTTTTTTGGATGATTAAAAAATTCCTAATCAAGTAATTGATAAAAAATAAAATTGATAAAAGCAGAACGAATGCTAGTGAAATTATTTAACAGTTTAAGGAAAGAATGAGAATTTAAATTAGGGCATTAATTAAGTCGAAAGCAAAGTGTCTGGTGAAAAGTTTGTGGAATCCACTACTAACTTGGAGTGATGTATAGCACTGCAATCATGGAAGCCTTTAAGAAAATATAGCTTCTGGCCTGTATAAACGATGTAGACTTGAGACTTATTTCAGGTTTCCTTCCGTAAACATTATTATTTTATTTTTTTATTTTTTGAATGAGCACGTTAAGTGTAAATATTAAAACCTCGTTATAGTATTGCGTGACAGTTGATAATATCTAGTATCTATAATCTAAATAAGTAGCATTTAAAATTAATTTGTGCTGTTAGACTCTGAGAAAATCGATTCGTTTTTATTATCGATTCTCGTGAAAATGTAAATTAAATGTCGGGTCAAACGGCGGCGAGCGAACATTCATTTCTTAGAGTAGTTTCACCCTAATCTATTCACTAATATGATCGTCATTTATTTCACAAACTACTGCTACTAAAACCATTACTATTTATTGTTTGAATTTAGTTGGGAACAAAACTTTTTGACTTAAGTATAATATTCACCACATGACAGACGTTTGTTTGCGCGATGGGAGCGAAATCTGAAAATCAAACTTTGAATTTAAATATCTGCTTCATAGAAAAGTTTTATGTATACATGATAGAGTGAAACGCATTTCATGTATTTGAATAAGAACTGAACTTGTTTGTTTTTAAATTTATTTATTTATTTATAAGCTGCAATAAATAAATTGTACTTCAAAATAGTACCAACATGTTTGTTTATTATTTATTATTCATTGATTCTTTTTCAAATTTATGAAATGTCCTTGTATAGTTCAAGGTCTCGGGAATGATTAGTTGACCGAAAATTAACGTAGGATTGAATTGGACAGCCTTTACTTGTCGGTTTATACCACCTGCACCATGTTAATAGCAAATATTTAATATCTAAAAACTCTAAGCGGCTTTAAAGTATTTTTTCATATCAAAATTAATGCAAAGATTGTCTTTATCTTTTTTAATCTACATCAAAGTTCATACTTGGTGCTTAGGATAATTAGAATAAAATATTTTAATACACTTGAGTTTACAATATTTTTTTTTTTTTATCAAGTACTCTATTTAATTATAAAATTACTAATTCTAATTACATTCACAACTGATTATTATCATAATTATACAGGTGTGGTAATAAATTCCTACAAGTTAATTTAAGTGCAATATTCAAATCAATAACAATCTTACTGCTTTTAAGCTTCATAAAAAATTTTTTGCCGTTCTATTTTTTAAATAAAATACTAAGCTACATTCGAGTTTATTTTTGAATATATATTAAATCAATTTAATATTATAGTTGAATGGATTTTTAAAAATAATAGACGAAAGAAAAAGTCGTGGAATTTTTTTATCCAACGGATGTTTTATTATCGCGCTGGCATTGCATCAGTCGGTAATCAAAGAGTCTACTTTTTAAAAGGAAAAATTTTTGATCAACAGATTTATTAAAATATAAACTTTTAATCATTCAAAAAAATCAATTATTTAAATAATATATGAAAATACTGCATTGTTATTAATACTCTCACAGGTATAAATTACTAAATATCCGGAAAAGGAACTGAAGGAAATTAAGTCGAGCATGTAGATTTTTTTACTCGACTGATAATGACATTTATACGAAGAAATTCTCTGTGTCCTTGTGATAAAAAAAAATTACCCTTTAAATCGTTACTAGCGTACGTCGTGATTGGATTATTGGCAACAGAAAAGATTACTGCAACAACTCAATTTCCAACAATTTCAGTACGCATCCGATAATTGCAATTTATTTGTAAAAAAATCTTCCATTTTCTTCCTTTCTCATGGGTATTTTTTACTACAAAATTAATTATAATTTTTAGAAGTGTCATAAGAAAAATGCACATGTTTCTAATCTTGACTCGGTGCTAAACACACCTCCAATGAATTCAACCGAAGAAATAAAACGAGCAAATGAAATAAAAGTCAATCAAGACGAGACCTTCAATCCGGATAGTGTGTTAATAAAACCTTCAGATAGAATTCTTCTTCCCGTATTCAATGAAACGGAGAACACGAAATTCATTTCAGCAAAACGGAAAAATTCTTCGAACCAGACTTTAATTAATTTACACAAAGTAAAACCTCTGAAAGTAAATGCAAGTGAACTTCCTGCAGCGAGATTCATTCCAAAATTGCCAGCTCATCAGCAACTAAAAAATATTTCAAAGGTCAACTTACAAACTCGCATGCTGTTTGATCGAAGTGAATTAAAAAATAATACAATAAATGAATAAATAATCAATTAATGGAATAATAAAAGTATACTTGAATATATTTTTTACTATTATTAAAGATTTATTTCATAATATTACACCAACAACTATTAATGAATTTTTTTTATTTTTTTTTTTTCATAATAATAAATCCTTATCGTGTTAAAAATGCGAATAAACACTTATCATTAATATATAATTAATTCATTATGTATATAATATATATATTTATATATTATATATATTATTAATTTATAAGATTGTATAATATATCTATTTTTATATATATATTTATTTATATTTATTATTATAGCCTAGATATGCGCATTTTGAGAACATTTCTCTTATACCCTCATTTTTACCACGCACTTATTTCTGCGTAATTAGTTCTTAAATTATTATTATTATTATTATTTATCTCAATATCATTCACACACATACATGATTTCAAACCTCACAATTTACAATCTCTTTTCGTCCGTTTATTATATTCTCAATGGAATGCTTATCAATAATAATAACGATCAGTTTTTACTTGAAAACTAAAATAAAAATAAAAATTTTCAAAAATCATTACTATTACATACTGATAAATAAACACAAGCATTATTACATTACAACTTCTACTAGTACAAAAAATAACTTGTAATTATTTATAATTAAATTTTATTTCATTTTTATCATTAGTATTATCATTTAAAAACAGTAATTGATAAATTGTTCGTTTGTTTTTTTACTAAAATCACAAAATTATCAGCTGTCTTGTCCTTACAAGTTTTCAATTTAATTAAAAATATAGTAATTATATTACATATTGATAATAACAAAACAATTAAATAGAGTATGAAAATTTTTAGTTAATAAATTCTGAAAAAATATGATATGATAGTAGATATATATATAAATTTTTTTTTCTTAATAAAAAGGCAACATTCAAATTATAATTGAATGTGCTAATTACACGATTTGATAGGATTTTTTCCATCAAATTTATCTCCCGGCTTCAATATTTTTTTTTCATTTTTCTTTTTTTTTTTGTTATTTTTATTATAGACTATCGTTATATTAAATAATGTACAAGACGTAAGTAGTAAGTACAACTATTGTAGCTTAAAAATGAGAATCTGTTACTGTCGTGCCTCAATAAAATAATAAATACCCATTTATTTAAATTTCAATAAATCACTACACTGCTATTTTACTTTATCGTATATAAAAAAATATTTGTTTTAAATACTCAATTTTCATTTAATGATCGTTAAATACCTTTTTATTTGTAAATTTTTTTTACTGGCAGTGTGATTAGGTTCGAACTAATATAAAGGCACCTGACGCGTATTTTAAAAAGTCTGGACAATTGATACTTTTTTTTTGTAAGAAATTTTTTAATGAAACCGTTAAATAATAAAATGATGAGAAAAAATTTACTTTATTCAAACTTGAGGCTACGACATTTGAGGTATTTTATTTAAGAAACGTCACTACGTCAAAAGAAAAATAGTGACATTACTTTCGGAGAATTTATTCAACCGTAGATTTAAAATTTGTTTTAGCTTCGAAAGTTATAACAACCAGAAAATTTAATTTTCATTTTATTAGTAAAAGACAAGTTTTATTTTATTACTTTTTAATTAACCATCATCTTTATCATTTATTTTATTTTATTTATTATTTTTATTAATGTATTTGTATTCGTTTTGTACTTGTATTGTTTAGCAAGGCAGCGTGTTGCACTTTGTTACTTTACATTTTAAACGGGCCATACTATGTACGAAAGATCATGACAGTCACTTTCTTTCTTATTCTCTTTCTCTCTCACATTTATTCTCACTCTCTGTCTCTCATTGATATATTTATTCATCAAAGTCTTCATTTACGCACTTTAATTTAATTAAATTACTTAAATCACTACATTCCCACCACTTTCATGCAAAATAATAAGTTTACATCATAATTATCAACTAAAGAAAATTACTGTTTTTTATCGCTCACCTTTTTTTTTTTTCAAATATTCTATTTCAGTTTCTTATTTTTTATTTTCTTTTTTTTTTATTCATCTATCACGAATATGGACGAAAATCATCTATTATATTTTATTGAATTATTTGAAAGATGTATTTGACAAAAAAAATGGTAAGCGACAATTGAAAAAGAAATTACAACATTTTTTGTCAAATCAATGTGTTCATTGTTTTAATTATTCTGTCTTTTATATTTTTAAAATATTTATTTTCAATTAATATTTAATTATCTGGAAAAAAACTTTTTCCATAACCATTACAAACTTTTTTTACGATTTTTATAATTATAAAATAAAAATAAAATACAATAAAATAATATAAGTTTATTAACTAATTATTTTATTAATTATATGATATGAATTTTACGGTAAAGAAATTTATAAAACCAACATAAACTTCAATAACTGTCATATAATTAATAATTAATAATAATAATAATAATAATATTGATAGCGATAATAGTGATATAACATATTAATACGCAGATAATAATTATAAGCATTTGTCAAGTCCTCATAAACATATTTTAACAATCACTTCGACAACGGACGTATAGCGAAAAAAAAATCTAGTGGAGTAACTTAAAACTTTAAAATAATTATAATAATATTAATATATTTATATGCCTAGATATGTATATATATGATTGTATATATACATATATATATGTACATAAACAAAATAACGTAATACAGAAACTTTACGTTACTTTACGTGTATTATACCGTCGATTAATGAACTAACGTACATTGAATTGCCCTCAGTTGAAAAAATTAATAATAATAATAATAATAATATTGATAGCGATAATAGTGATATAACATATTAATACGCAGATAATAATTATAAGCATTTGTCAAGTCCTCATAAACATATTTTAACAATCACTTCGACAACGGACGTATAGCGAAAAAAAAATCTAGTGGAGTAACTTAAAACTTTAAAATAATTATAATAATATTAATATATTTATATGCCTAGATATGTATATATATGATTGTATATATACATATATATATGTACATAAACAAAATAACGTAATACAGAAACTTTACGTTACTTTACGTGTATTATACCGTCGATTAATGAACTAACGTACATTGAATTGCCCTCAGTTGAAAAAATTAATAATAATAATAATAATAATAATAAATTTAATTATTATTTAACTGCATAACTATAATACATTCTTAAGATACCTATGCCCGTATGAATGTATTATAAATATACGTATACTCTATTGGAGATTTCAATAAAGTTATTTAAACTGTTTGATAATATATATAATATGTAAGTATTCAATGAGTTATTTCATTAGTTAAAAAATACAATCGTCAACTCTATCAGTGTCCACTGCTAGTAAATATGTGATGCGATACATGTACAAAATGCTTATATTATTTAAGTGTTCATAATATTATTATTGTTATGATGATTATAACTGTGATAATTAATAATTAATAGTAGTAATAATTATAATCAAACAATGAGCGTAAGAGTTAAAAAATAAACATTGCAAAAGTAAAATACATAATATAGTACAAGGTTGATGCAATACTTAATTATGCGAAAAAAAAATAATTCTGTTATTAAATTTATAAAAAAAGTTCTGCTTTGAAATTTTTTTTACTTGCAAATTTAAAACTTGTTCACATTAAAGGCGTTTTGGGGGAAAAAATTTCAGAGCAAAACTTTTTTTCAGTGCAAATTACAGAGTGAACAAAGGAGAAAAACTTTGAACATAAATATTGATTTTGGACACTCGTTTCAAGTTAAATAAAAATAATGTGCGTCAATGTTTTTCTATTACGTTATTTTAACAGCTTCGCCATTAGTCAAGTTGTCTAGTGATTTTTTTCTTTCGATTATGATTATCACTATCACATTCACACACTTCTTTATAATCGTCCAAAAATTCTCATATCAATTTCATCTGTTTATCAATTAAATAATTTATTAGAGCGTGTAAACGCCTCAAAGTCTTGAATTTTTAAATTTAGTTTACATTGCACGTTAAATTAATAACTAAATATACATCGAGACAAACATCGTTGATGAATTAATAATTTTAAACCATAACTGCTGTTAAAAATAGCGTAAATATTTTATCATTCCTTTCAATCAATCAAAACAAAAAAACAAGTTTCAAAACTGAGCCAAAGTTAAATTAACAATTTAACAAAAATCTTATAATTATAATTGATTGATTTTTTTCATTCATAATAATCAGGCATAGGTTTATGACGATCATTGAAAGCAGATGTAATAAATTACAAACAATAAATAGAAATAATTATTAATTGTTTAATTATTTCTTTACAATTGCGATAAACGACAAATTTCTTTATGACTCGCAACAATCAATAATAATTTTGCTTGCAATTTTCCCGTCAGATAAATTTAAGAATTTTTTTTTTTTAATTATTTTTTATTTTTTAATTTAACAATTAATTTATACTTAAGGTTTATTAATAATAGTTATGGCACAATATAAATGTTAATATTTAAAGTCTTTTTCGAGACATAATAGAAAATAAATCTAAGTAGTCTTTCTCCTATGTTCGACAACTTCATCATTCTTTTAATTCTCATCAATTTTCACTTTTAGTTTATGATAATTCGAGTGTACACATTTTCTATATATTTTCATACAAGTATGCTCTTTAGTAAAAAAAAAAAAAACTAAAGAGTATGATGGATAAATTCTGCCATTACTATTTTGTTTTCGTTACTGTTATATTTATTTAAATATTAGCTTGTTTCATTTTTCATTTTTATTTTAGAAATTTCAAATAATTTACAAATTTTTGATGAAAATTTTTATCTAATAATTCATCGAATTTAGCCATAAAAAATCATTGGTGTTAATTTTTTAGCGATCTACGATTTAAGAACGATTTCGCAATGTTTCTTTGGTAAAACAATATCACATTATAAAGAGCAAAAAAAAAATGAAAAAAAAAATATAATAAAAACATCAAAGCCAATTGTCGCAGTCTAATCAGTCACAATTATTATAAATATATAGTATTATTTATATATAAACGATAGTAATAATAATAATTATTATCATTATTATTCCCTATCTAATTAAAGAGAAAAAAAACGAAAATGGAAACAAGTTAAAAAATAAATTCGATATTATTAGTTAAATATTTTATTAATTCATTCAATTCATCTAATCGTTTATTTATTCAATAAAACTGATATCATCAATTCTCCATTATCTCCTTGCTAAATTATAAAAATCAGCCTTTTTGTTAAAAAATAAATTTACGTAACAAAATAATAACTTTATTTCGTCACAGCGCGATAACAAAATTTCAATAAATTGAGCGCTGCTCTTAGCCGGCTCTAAATATCGAGCAACTAAACAATTAATAACTTTAGCTATCATATCTCGTTTGTTATTAGTCGTTATTATCATTATCATTAATTTAAATAAACAGTCACATTTAATAAGCTTAGATTATCGAAAACCGCTCATCACAGTGGAAGAAAAATTGCCGGAAGTGGAATACATATACTTATTATCATAAATATATGTAGATATATATTTATAATATATACTAAAACAAACTTACTAATTAGCATTTAATTTAATCACTAATTCGGAAGTAAATTCGACAATTAAATAATCTTAATTCGCTTTTCAAAATAATTATTTTTAACACCAAAAAATTATCCCTGATTTCCGGTCAATTTCATTCCAGACACGTCTGCCGATACTTTATATCAATAAATTATTAAAAATTCTTCTGATAATAATATTAAAAATATCAATTAAATGTATTATTCAACATAAAAGGCGGAATTTATAGTTACTTGTTTAAACGAATAGCAATAAACTTATTCCTACAAGTGGCATCGAAAAATTACTCACAATCAATATCATTTAAACTAAAATACGGACACGTTGTGTTAACGATTATATTCCGGTTTATCAGCAGTGTAAAAGATTTACTTAGAAATTTTCTATCTGATGATAACTGTCTGAAAAATCTATCCCGAATATCTTTACAGAAACGTTTAAGGGATAGAGTTTCTAGAGCAAATTGTCATTGAGCGAACAAGTTTTAAGTAGATCCGTCACACTGTCAATTCATCTGTTATTAAAGTATCATTTCTGTATTACTATTTCAACTATCGTATATACACATTATTAAATATATAAATATATTCGTATATATCTATATATTTATATAATGAAAGAGTGGAAATTAATAGTTAAAAATATTTATTTCTGTACTTAAAATTCTCTTTCAGCTACGAGCTCGAAAAACCGAAAATTGTGCAGGTTTAAAGAATCGTTTGTTTAATCAGTGATACATTTTTTTTCGTTTTTCTTCTTCTGATAACTACTGCTACCTTAGTTATGCTTATCAAAGAAGACATGAAGTAATTCCGTTAAGTATTTACGAACCCTCAATGTGTTGGCACATTAATTTTAAATTTATAAATTTTGAACACCAGTGAAGTGTCTGCGTTTTTGTAAATTAGTTAATAAATTTAAATTTTATAAAAAATAAATAACTATAAAGTAAATAATAGTTATCGCAACTTGATTTTTTTTGACAAATAAAATTTCTATAATAAAATCTTAGGCTTAAAAATTTATGAAAAATGAATACATTTAATATGCAATGTAAATTTTGGCATCGAATAATGAATTTTGAACTCGCTATTAGCGATCAATAATAATTTTTGTTTTACACTTACAAGATTCCGATAACTGAATTACGTTATAATAAATAGTTATCTTTAATTTTCTACACAAGTCAATGACACTATATCTTTACTATCGTAGCGAATTATAAGTTAAATAGATTGCATATTCAAATATATATTTAATTATTATTATCGATTGTAAATTTGCCAATTAAGCAGACGTTTCACTATGTCAATATTTTAATTTTATTTAGAAATTAAATTATTACGAAATTTCTACTTTGTCTCGATGACTAATTTTACAACATTCAAGATAAATTCGAATCCGTATATCTTTTATTAATTAGTTTATTTTTTTTGTAAATTTTTTTTAACCATTTTTTTCGTTTAGTATACCAACTGAAAAACATCACAGAACTTTCCGATATCATAATCAATTTGTTCTTTATTAATAATAATTATTCTCTCTTTCTCTTGTCCGTTGACGCCACGCTGACTGCCATTATGTAGACTAATTTAAATTCAAATCGACAATGTTTATTTTTAATTAGCTCGTTATTTTAATAACTTTACTCGCCTTCTTTTATCACAGTAACATAGAAGGGTCCAAAAATGACTAGGATAATTTCCATTTACGAGCTTATAAATTATATAATTAAGTCATATCCCAAATAAATAATTTTGGCATTTATAATTTCATCAAATTTTGGCTTAATTATAAAACATTTTTAATGTTTTTTTTTTTACTCGTCAATCTTAAATCCAAATTATCCACACAGTGGTTAATGAGTACGTCACGGAACAGAGAATAATTTTTATTTAAATTTATTTTATCTCATTGACTCTAAACAAATTTGACACAAATTTATATTCCCTCATCGGGGATTCTTATAATCTAAATCGTATAATTTTTAATGGTATACTTGATGATCGATATGTCTAAAATAATTTTCTTCGTTACACTTTTATAATTATAAATTTTAAATCTTAAAAATTCACAAAATTTTATTTTTCGCATTCAATACTACCGAGTCTAATATAGTTGTAGCTGCTCTTTATTAATTATTTGTACTTGCTCATTATTAATGATAATGGCGTTTACATATTTGATAAAACAACTTAACTTTTTTTTTTTTTTTCATTTTTTATTTTTTTTTTATTTAAGTGTTTTATCACTGAGTTTAAAACCTGAATATGTTACGATCGTTATTCAAACAACTCTTAGAATTTTGTTTTATCTACTTATCTCTTGTATTGCGTACTTGCTCAGTACTTATTGCAAGAAAATCAACACAGCTCATTACTTGTTTGATGAAAACCAAACCAAAACAATAATTTATTACTTCTAAGTCCAATGACTAGCATTCATTTCCTACAAACTTCAAAATTTTTATCTCAAAAAAACTTTTTAAAGTCAATTAAAAGTTATAAAAAATCAAACAAGTAACTCCGTAATTTTTTCAGCTATTTAATTACACAAAAACATGGCATCGGGTAATTTTTCTAATACTCAACAACAAAACTAATAAAAAAAAAAATTTAAAAAAAAATAATCTTTTGTCGAAGAATAATGAATAGTGTCCGACGCCATGCCAAAATTGCATACGATTTATTTTTATTTATTTAACTTTATTATACCTTGAGAAAATCCAAAGATAGAAATATTATTGTTATTAATATTGTACCAATGTAATATATATATATATAAATTATATATATATATATATATATATATATATATATATATATATGGATATATATTTATCACGCCGTTATCTCTATATCCTGCTTTCGCTATGTCTTACGCTTGTAACGTTTTTTTACGTCGTGTATATGCTTAGATTCGCCGCTTTTAGTTAAAAGTTAAAATTAAACAAAACGAAACAAAAAAAAAGAATTAATAATAAAACAAAAAGAAGATTAATTTGTTTATTTATTATTTAAAATAAAATAATCTTCACTAGATAAAATTTAGTTTGTTGGCATAAAATAAAATTTTTAAATTCTCATTCAATTTAATAGATAATATAATTAAAAATCTAATCCGATTGTTGCTCGATCGGCAATAATAATCAGTCCGTTAATTATTTAAAATAATATTTCAAACTAGATAATAAACAATTTAAATTAAATTTTGCCTCTAAATAATGACTGGAATGTTATTAATTATTTAAAATAAAAAAAAAAAAATTTAATAAATTTTAAAATATCGTATTACTTTCCCGATTGATTTAATTAAATTTGTTTGGTTAAGCTTAATTACGTTAAGAATTTGTTTTTAATTTTCTCAGTCAATTCGTCGTGATTCTTTGGATTAAACGCAGTCTTGACGAATGTGTTTAAAAACGAAACAATATTAAATAAAAATTATTAAAATAATTTATAATAATTACGAATTAAAACAAACAAAAAAAAATATTTCAAATTTTATTTGAAAGCGAGGCGATACGTAAGAGCCAATTACGTAGTTTTAATTCTCTCATTCTCTTCTTCTCAAGACAAATTACCCTAGACAGTATTCTTTAATCATAATAATTATATTAATAATAATAATAAAAATAATAATAATAATAATAATAATAATAATAATCATAATCATAGTAATAATAATAATATTAAAATTAATAATGATAAAAATGATATTTATAAAAAATACTGTCTTGAGTAATGGAAAAAATAGAATAGAATAGAATAGAAAAAATAAAATAAAATAAAGAAAAAAAAATTAAAGTTAAAACAAATTGATAAAACACAATGACTCCCATTAAATTGATTGTCTTTAAAGCGACGATCAACCGCAAGACGAGTCCGAGATCACAAAAAATAAATTTAAATATTCAATATTACAACGAGAGGTCAATCATTGATCCTGTATTCAACGGCCCAGGATCTAATGAAATATCTGTCCGATCGCGTTCTCCCCATGGCCAATGATGCTGCTGATAGTTTGTCTGATATTGTTGATGATGATTATGACCACTGTTGTTACTATTATGGCGATTTCGATGATTAAATTTAAGATAATAATCACTAGAGTCATCAAAATAATCAGGAGAAGGCTGACGAACGGACCACCACTTTCATTGGGGCAATTGTTGCTGGATCGGTGGGTGATGCTGCGCTGCCAAGACACTCTTCATGGCGGATGTCTTCAGCAGCCTCTTCAACATCCCGCTTGAGCCACGGTGCTGAAGACTTTTGTGCGTCGTCAATGAATTTTTAGTTCGATAACGACGGTTACAAAACTCACACACGTACAAAGTATCTGATTGTTCGTGTTTATCCTGAAAGTGACGTTTTAACGAGTAATAGCAGGAAAAGGTACGGCGGCAGTAGGGGCATTCCTGTGGCTCATTTATACCTCCCGCTGTTGGCGGCGGCATACGGTATATATTTGTGGGAAGCGTCGACGTTGGATGCATCCCATTGCCCGTACCTGCAAATTACATTTTTCATTTAATTTATTTCTTTTTTTTTTATTTTCATTTTTTTCCACAAAAATGAATATATTTTGATGATAAATTTTTTATTTAAAAATTATAGAGTTTATATTTTTCAGTTTATGCATTTTTGTAGGAAAATTTTATATTTATTATCAATATATGTATTATAAAATTGAATTTATTTTTTTAAGATTTAGTAATTAGGGTGTGTAGTGTAGGATGTGGATCACATTATTAAGTTATTACTCATTAAATCATGCTGAGATTTTTAACATGCTCTATGATACTGAGAATAGAATTATCAAAATTAAATTGAAGGAATTAAAGCTGAAAGTGGAGAAAATTTGTTTCCAAGTTTAACTTCTTCAATTATTTTTATTTATTTGTCCTAATGACTCAAAAATTTTACGGTGTTAAATCTAGCTCCGATAATTCTCAGTAACCACTAAAATATTATAAGAAAAACAATAACTCATATAGAATACAAGAAAATACTTAGTAATAGTGTTAATCATGCTCTAATAGAATGACAGTTTCATGTTATTAGTACTAATGTAAATGGACATTAACATCAGTGTCAGGTCATGCAGTAGTTAAACAACTGTAAGGAAAATATTATTAAGTACATGCAACATCAAACATTGAAAGCAATGAGTTGTAAAGCATATGGTTAATAAAGTGAAAAATGTAACGAAATAAATAACCAATAAATAATAAATAAATTACATAATAATAAACATAATAAAATATTAATAATAATAATAATAGTAAGATACGGTGAAGGATTGGTTAGTTATGAAGAGCCTGAAGCATTTAGTCCGGTAGAAAAATAAAAGCCCTGCTTTCCTAGTCAGATAATACCAAGTATTAAATCTGTTTCTCTACCTAATTTTTTTTTTCCCCGTATCCATTCATACCCCATTTTATATATTTCTTCAACAATATATGTATAAGTAGAATAGTATTTATTTATTTATTGATTAGAAAGTCCTTTTTCATTCTCCGTCACAAAATTTATGACTTAACCCATTCATGCATTAAAAAATCCACTTTTTAGTTAATTAACAAAAGATAGACAAACTGAGGTTCAATAGAATGCCAATAAAATAAAAAAAAATATTTAAAAGAGATGTTTGACTTGAAAAAAAAAAATCTTTATTTTAAAATCGCGAGTGAATAAAGATAACCGAGCGGGTTAGTCGTGCATGCATGTCCTACTAAAATTTACATAATAATAATAATTATAATAAAAAGAAAAAAAAGGATTAAGATTACCATTAAAAAAAATTAGGAGAAAGGATTTTTGGCATTATCAAGGATTTAAATATTTTTAATACATAGTATGTACATAAACGAAAAAACGAGTAGCCAAAAGAAAAATAAAGAAAAGTTAAGTAAAGTAAAAAAGAAATAATAATAAAAATAAATAAATAAAAGATTAGAGGGAGAACGAAAGACCGAATTGTTAAATTTGGATGGTAGTTCGTGGCCCTACCTTATCTAAACCTTCAAAAGAACTTAATGTCAATGTCGCCAGGTCTGCTCTTATGATAGGTATAGATATGAGTCATCAGGGAGTTACGCGAGCAGTATACTCGCTCGCAGATGACACATCGGTACTCCTCTTGTCGTTCAGCATGCTTGTCGGCAACGTGGCGCTTTAGTGATGCTTTACTGCACAGCACCTTGCCACACAGTTGGCAGGTGAAGAGCTTCTTGGGCGACGGCGTGTTCAGCGAGTTCAAGGTCAGCCCTGGCATCGAGGCGAGCACTGAAACACAACAATGCACCTCATGCAGCACACCCCACACTTACCTACACCAAGTCTAACATCTCTTTATAATCTTTAAAAATCTTTACTTTTACTCTCTTTTTAAAAACTACTCTCTTACTTAAATATCTCTCTCTTTAACACTCCCCTCCTCTAACGCATTTAACTAATTAATCCTCATTAATCATTACGATAAAATTTATCAATTATCATTTTTTATTTCTATGCAAAGTAGGTCCTTAGAGAAACATTACAACTTTTCGTTAATCTACTGTAAATAAAAAAAAATTATTAAAATTTAAACTTTACCCACTTGACAATAATAAAAATAATGACAATAATTTTTCCGAGGAATTTATTTGTTCTTTAAAAACTAAAACTCAAAAACTTGGAAAAAGTGAAAAAGCTCGTCTTGATGAGCTTCACAACGATACGAATTAAATGGCGATAAGTATGAGCGGGTCATTTATTCTTAAAAGTTATTGTTTGATGGGTCTAGTCTAGTCTGGTCGAGGGCTTAAAAACTTCAAGGATTGAAGGATGGCTACGCTATCTAACAACTGTTATAACTATACTAAAGTTTGTCTCATTCTCTCTCGCATTCTCGTCTCTTTCTTTCACCTCTTTTAGATGTTATTATAACAATAATGATAACAATATTATTATTTAACATTTCTGTATTATATTGACTGTTCTAGACCGAGGGATCGAATAGAAGAGAGCTGGGGGTGCTCGGGTGTATAATATAAAGTATAAGAAAAGAGAGAGTAAGCACCGCTGAAAGTACTGGATGATGGATATTTTATATATATAACCATTAATTTTCATTGAAAATTACTCTTTATCCAATTTATTCTTACTCGAGTTGTGTCTCATTAAACTTGAAGCTAAAAAGTCCGCTCTACTTCTGCTATCACAAGGAACTAAGTCAACGAGGGGTTATAAGTATTTATACTTATATACGCTTTTACAATTTACATAAAGACCACTGCGACGTGATATTTATTATGAGGATCTTCAGTTCTGGTGAATAAGGTAAGGAACATTTTTTTTTAACTTAAAAAAATTATGGCTGCTCATAATCACGCCCGAGTCAAAACATAATTAAAGTAAATCACAAGAAATTATATTCATTTAAAGAAAATAATAATAATAATAATAAAGATAAAGTAACACAAAATATGAACAGAAAAACTTATAACCGGGGGATGCAGAATAAGACGCATATTGTTGAAAATACTTTCAATTCTTTTGATAACAAAAAAAAAGTCACGGTGTTTTGTTTGTTTGAATAAGGGTTAACATATGACACTGAGCATTCTGGAAGACATTTAAAGCATGCAGTTCGCGTTACAATGTAACCCGCAACGTTTTGTCGTATTCTAAAATCTCTTGCATCTCTATTGTTACTTGTTGTATTAATTTACGTAAATTCAAATGTTTTATCTCTATTATAAATACATAAATATCTAGATTTTTATTCTATTATGTGGATATATAAAGATTAAAAGAATAAGAGTGTTTATAACGGGCTATAGAAATATATATTTCATAGAAAATAATAAACGTCTGGATCTGGTGGACTGTTGCATTGAATATAAAAACGAGAATCTTATTGTTAACAAAAAAACATCGCGAGCTGAGAATTGAAATAAGAATTAAGCGTGAGGAGGAGAGCTCAAGTCTTCGCAGTTCAAATAAATCTTTTTCTTCAAATACTCATTAAAAATATTTAAATAGAGCTTTAATTTATATTGTAATTTTGCTCTATACAAATAAAAAATGGCTCAATTTGCACTGCGATTACTTGAATTTATATCAAAACTGTTTCGTTCGAAAAAATAAAAAAAAAAATATTTTTTTTTTATTGACTCGTCAGGAATTAATGGCTCAGTATTTTAACAACACATTAACAATAAACCCTATTGGAAGAATTCAAACTGACTTACCTTGCAGCTGAAATTATTTTTTTTACTTAGTTTAAAATCCATGATATAAGCTTAAGTCTATGAAAATATTACAGTTATTTCATTAATATTATCTAATTAATAAATTATTGATCGTTGATCAATTATTGAGCGTTTTCGATAGGATGTGATAGGTTAAATTATCTTAAAAATAAATAAAGATGTATAAAAATAAATAAATAAAAAAAAACAAAATTATTAAACCAAACAGTACATTTTGCATCATACAAAAATGAAAATATATTAAAATGCATCTTATATAGTTCAAATAATTAAAAATAGAAATAATGATAATAATATTAAATGATTGTAATAATCGTAATCAATAATAAATATATAACCAAAACACCTCGGAAAATAACAAATAATAAGTATAAGCAAAATAAAGTAACTGTCTTTTCGATTTTTTCTATAATTATCAGTTACACTTAATGAATGCGCGATTATTTTCTAGTTTTAATTTAGCGCACTGTTATTAATATATTAATTTTTTTCGCCACCAAGTCTTAATTTTTTATATAATTTTTTTAAAATTAGTATTTCTTCATTTAAATAAACCTTCACTCGCGCAGGTACTAATGTTTTGTCTGCATTTTATAGAATAAATGATAATATTGAATAAAGTTATTGTTATTATTAATAATAGGATGATTATCAAATGATTGACGTCATATGAATGAAATTGGCGATAACGATATAATATAATAATAATAATAATAATAATAATAATAGAATAATAAGTTGTAAATTATTAAGTATAATCTTTAAACGTAGAGCTATAAGCTATTGTGAAAAATTGGCTATTGTATTATTATAAAACCTGTATGGTTATTATTACTATTACATAATTTATTGATTAATTAATAAATGTGGGGGAAACAAAAGCAATGTGTATGTATGTGTATACTTTATATATCTATTCGTTTATAAATATTTCAATAATAATTACCGTGAAAAATAATCGTAATAATTAGATATTAATTATAATGTTAATAAATGATGATGATGTTCGTAGTGATAATAATAGCAAGTAATCACGTCTATTTTGAATTCAAGTAACTGATTGTTGTTATTGTATTCAATTATTTTTGTTTTTGTTTTTTTTTTTTTTTTTTTTTTTTTTGTGACAATGACATAATTATTTGTAATTTATTCGTTCAAGTGTTTTATGGCTCGATTATTTTGAATTTTTTGCAGACTCTTTTTTGTTTATCATCTTTTTCTATTTTTTCGTAACTAATTGCACAACTCCACTCCCATTTTTAACTCGGACCCTAACTCCGTTTATTTTAAAACCGCCATTTTAAAACTTAATCATTAGGTACTTTTAATTAGCAAGTTTGGTAACATCAGTCAAATCAGTGAAAAAAATCAGTCCAATAAAATTGACTAATTAAAAAAAAACAACTTATCAATTTATAAATAAATCAATCAAATCAGTCGAATTGCGTCACAGCAAATAACTTGTGACAATCTTTGTGCCAATTTACAGTCCAAGGCAATTAAATTATTGGCGACCCATTTTAAAAATAATTTTTTTTTTATAATTTCAGTCTTTTCAATAACAAAATAGAAGCCATTGTATTTAACTTTCCTTTCTCTCTTTTAAATTAAATATATATCTATATATATATTTTTTTTCTTAAATGTCATGTTGTCTAGACAAAGAGTTCATTTATATTTAAAATTAAATGCAAGATTTGCTATTCTTTCGCGCGAGATAATTTAATGGTCGACGATATTAAACGTAACCGAAATTTCGTAATAACAAAATAACAATCTTTCTCTGACGTGTTCGTTTCAGTTATAAACTTATCTCGCGTAACAAAAATTATTAGTAATAATAATAATGGTCATAAAAAAAAAAAATAATAATAATAAAAATAAAAATCAAATAAAAATCTACAAATATAAATTGTATATATGCAATTAAATATTAAAGAATCAATTTATATTAATTTCATTAATAATTTATTATTTTTATAAGTCTGTCATTCATACACAATGAATGACAAATATCCGCGTATTTGGCAATTTTCTTATATTTTTTACAGTAGTCACAAGTCAATTTATTGAATAAACTACTACTTTTACTTTTAAATTTATCAATTTAAATAATTATCAATATCAGTTCTTTATCATCCGTTTCAACTACTATAAAACGTGTTTTTTTTTTTTTTAATTTACTTTAATTTTTTCGACATTATATACCATTTTCTCTCAATTTAAAGCTTCATCCTCTCGTGACTCCGAATTTACAGTCTCAAACATTCAAACCTGTTTCTTACTAAATTAACTTTATAAATTCATATTTGCACCTGCTGACTAGCACATACTTTCATGTTCGGTACTACAGTGTTATGTCCAAGTCCACTAAATTCTCATTCTGTAATTTATAATTTCCAAAAGTATGTGCTAGTCACAATCCAACATACTCTAAATAATTCTTCCATAATGATAATCGGTAATAATATAAATAAATCTATCATAGCCTACCTATAGATGAAGTGTGTTCGAGCGTGAGAAAGTGTTTGTTATTCGGTAATTATTTATTATTTATTCTGATTATTAATTAACTGTCTGTTTACTTTAATCGGTGTGTTACGAGTAGTTTGATATTTTAGTCTGTAAAATATATTGTAATATGCAATAATTATTAAATATATATTTGAGATAATATACGTAGATTTGTATCATATATACCGAGTAGAGTACAACGTTCTTACGTCAGGCTGTTACACAAATAAAAGTTAAACCATATAACCGAGATACGAATCAAGAGCTGTCGATTTTTCCGGTACATCAGAGCCTCCCTTATTAACCGTTCAGTACTTATATTAATGATATTGATTTTTAGTGTTTGTGTATTTTTACCAATTTTAGTTAAAATAACCGGCGCAAAGAGTCAAATTTCAGTTAGATTTTTTTTTTATAATTTACAATGGATTATTTTTTAATTGCAATGTTAAAAATATCTTGCAAAGTTATACTGATTAATTACAGAAGACTCTGGAGTGTCTTATGAAAATCTTACTAAAATATATGTCTATATATGTACTCTATATACGTACTGTAGCTATTATTTATTTAGATGCATATGTTTGTTTTTTTTTTTTGCGTGGACTTAAAATGTGATTTGTTGTATTAGCAATTTTTAGTGTGCAGTATTGTAAACCCGACTATGCTATGCTTATTTTAATGAGTTGAAAAAAAATATTTTCTGAGTAAAAAAAACTGGGTTGAAAAATATTTTTATCACGGAAATGTAAAAAAGTTTTGAGTCAACGATCAGAGAAATAAACATATGAAGTATAATAATTAAAATAGTATTAATAATAATAATATATAAAATAGTAACTAAAAATATGAATTATCAAGGTACGGCGTAATAAAACCGGGATCGTTACTAAAAATTAACGCATCTATAAAAGGTACCCCATTTTAAAGCATGTTTTTTGTGTTTGTGTATGGAATGAATATAATATATATATATTAAAATATTTATATATTAATAAAATAAAATATATATATTATAATTTAATAATTAATTAATTAATTCCAATCACTAATCGCGAAGCAATTGCAGATTTATACATAAGTCAGGGACTGTCATTCAATCCGCGAGAATTAAGTCGATGATAATAATAATAATAATAATAATAATAATAATAATAATAATAATAATAATTTTAAATAAATAAAATTTCTAATCAATCGTAATAAAATTCTGTTTTCTAAATTTAAAAAAAAAATAATAAATTTATCTCGAGTCTTGTAAGTCAATTTGTTACTTTTTATCATTTTCATTTTTTTTTTTTTTTTTTTTTTTACAGTCTTTTAATATGTAAATGTCTCTTCCTAAAGTTAGTTGGACGATAAGCGTTAATACTAAACGCTTGTATTTAAATTATTTAGTTTTTTGTTCATTCAATTAAATCCTAACTAACGAGTTCGCATGGGAAATCCGATTTACACCTTCTCTTTCCCCCAACACACACTCAGTCGCGTAATTATAATAATCATTCAATTTAATTTAATAATGCCTATCAACAATAATAATAGACACAAGTATACACGAGTAAAAATAATTAAATACAAATAAATATAGTAATATTTAATCAATATTCATCCAATAAATAATTTCATGCCATTATTTTCATTTTATATACAGCTTGAAACAATTTACATATGAATAATTACAATTATTAATTAATCATTATTTTTACTGTTATTTATTATCATTATAATTATTACTTTATATTTTCTTTTCATGTATATTCATTTATATATATATATAATTATTTTTACTCATTAATTTATATATTGCAATTTACCATTTACATTTTCTATCACAAATAAATTTTAACAATAATTATTGACACATTTTATTTTAAATTGGGCAGCTTGTCCACTAGTGCTTCGAATTTCCCGGAACGTTCTCATTCAAAAGCTCTGTACTTTTTTTGGAAGCACTGGACATTATTCCCTTATTTCCTTTTTCTTTTTTTTCTTACTAAATTAGTTTTATAAATTTATTTATAAACCGAAAATAAAATAACGATAGAAAAGTAATCGATCTAGAATCTAATTAAAAATATTAGATGAAATTCGGTTGGTTTAGTTATTTATAGTCTTTGTTGATAATAAATAAGTAGACTCGTTTTATTTCTGTCTACGGTGGTAGATACTCTTGTGATTATTTAAGCTGTTCAGCGTTCTAAACACTTTATTACACATGACGCATAATGCACTGTTGAGTGGCTGAAAGTGCTGCTGTTCTTTATGACGTTTTAATGTTAGCTTTGTTGATAATGTTTTTCCACACACATCACAAGTATAACATATACCTGGTGGTAATAAATTATTGTGTAGTGGATGTGATAATCGCATTGCTAATATTGCTGATGGTGGACCTTCGCGTTCATCATCATCATCATCATCATCATCATCATCATCATTATTGTTAATATTATTATTATTAAAAAATATCAATATTATTAATATTATAAATATCAAAATAAAGCATTCATTTAAAATGTAAAGTAAAAAAATTTTTGATAAATTCATAACAAAATGCAAATTATTTGAAGATCATTTAAAGATTAGTATTGATAAAAATTTCCCAATAATTAACGTATAAAAAAAATAAATTCAATTAAATAACAATAATTATATTTTGTTGCAAATGCATTGAAATAAAAATGATATTATAAATATATGTTGCAAGCAAAAATAGTAAACAAAGTATACAAATATATTTACAGTGAAAATAAAATAAAACCAAGCACCGTTACATTGATCCCAATTTAAAAAAAAAAATATATCCGTTACGAACCAATTGACGTGGAGGAGGCGGACACACAGAGAGAGGCCACGTGTGGATGGACCCCCAGCGCATAATCCGTTCATGAAGGTAGTAGTAGGTACACACAGAACAATGACGAACCAGAGCACGTATAGCCGAGCGAGCGGGACCGGGAACAAACAAGAACAAAGATACGACTGCCATTAATATTGTGGACACATTAGTAACGATACTAGTTATTTTTTTATACAGAGGACATTCGTGGGTGCCGGGTGAATAAAAAATAGAAAAAAAAAAAAAACCAAAAAAAAAAAGATTAAATAAATAATTGGGAATAAAGGGGTTAATGAAAGAGTTTTGTGGTAATTTTGCAAGGTAATTGGCTAGTTTTTTCATACTTTTGCTATGATACTTTCTTTTTAAAAATTAATTTTATTTATTCTCATTTAATTGGGTTTTAGAATTTATTGTAACACTCCTCTGCTATTATTTTTTTACTCGTATAACGACATCGGCTTAGCTGACACTCAGGTGCGGTGGTTGGTAGTGGTAATAATGGTGGTGGTAATCAATCCAAAGTACTGATAGAAACAAGGCTCGGGGCTCTGGTTTGTCATTGATCATGGTAATGTGACTCGTGTCAGCGATAACCAAACACTCTTGGGAGACACGCGCGTGTAATTATTGTTATTGTTTTTTATTTTTAATATTATTGCTATTGTTTTTAATTATTATTATTATTATTATTATTATTATTATTATTATTATTATTATTATTATTATTATTATTATTATTATTACTACTATAGTGGTTATTATAATCATTATTGTTGTTATTATTGGTATGCAAATGCCCATTTATAGTAATTAATAATTTCTGTTGTATTTCGTCTTTTAAATGAAAATAACAAAAGAGAATAAAATGAGGGTGAGAATACAAATGAATTTTTTCATGGGGAATTAAAATAAATGAAGTTTTTAAAGGAAAAAGTAAGAATTAGAGACAATTAAATGCCAGTAATTAGACTATTTCTACTGCTATTGCAGTGAGTATAGCAGAGGAAGCAGACTGAAAACTCTAAAGAGAATACAACAGAAAGTTTTTGGGCAATTGCGAATAAGTTAAACTTTCGTTACCGACGGCAAACTTGTAGACAGAAAGCAGAATATTCGAAATGAATAATTAAGTTTTCTTCCAACATACCATTCTCAATGCCTCCCAGGGTGTGGATCAGTCTAATGAGGAAAATTATATTTTGAGGCTTTATTTTAGTACTGGATTATAGATAAATATTTGACTTTTGCCCTATCTGTTTGTCTTTATTTTAAATTAATAACTAAGTATTAATAATTAATTGCGAAAACACCAACGCCCAACTATTGATCGTGGATTTTAATTTTATAATTAAATATAAAATACATTTTATTTACAAAAGAAAAGAAATAATCATTTTTGTTTATTTATTTATTTTTTTTTTGTTTTTTGTATAAATAATAACGTATAACGCGAATACAATGGAAATACATTACCCTGGACCCCCAAAAAATTGCGAATTATTTTATTCAATATTTTTATCATTAATAATTATTAGTAATAAAAAATATATTATGTCTTAAAACTCAGGTATACAAATGTTTGTTTGTTTTTTGTTTGTTTGTTTGTTTCTTTTTTTTTTCTTTTCAATATTTATATTTACATTGGCAATTTATTGTATTGCCATTTGTTTAATATCATTTTTTATCTATTTAGTTTGTTGTTTAAAATGTATATCTGTTCTAACGATCAGGTATTTACAGTTATTTACTTTGACTGCTATTGCGCTATCTATTGCATTTTATTTTATGATAACTATTATTTTTAATCTCACAAGTATTACAGTGGATTTATATTATATTATTATATTATATAATATATTAATCAATGAATTCTCTGTGATTCATTTATTTATTTTAACTAATGAATTATTATCAATTATTATATATGTACTTGAACTTATTTATTTGAACCATTTTTAAGTACTTAACAAACTGAAATGCATATCACATATTTAGATTTTTAAAAATAATAATAATAATTGCAAAGAACAAATATTTATTGAGTTGACTTATCACGTTAATTTTTAAACTCCGATAAATCGATAAAATTATTTATTGTTAATGTTAATAAAATTCAGAATAAAATATATATGTATTAATTATTTATTTATTTCGCAAGTGCAAAAATATATTTAAAAGAAAAATATAAATTAATAAACTAATTATTTAATTATTAAAGTGAATTTAAAAATAAAGCCATTAAAAAATTGCCTCTAGTGATGACTTAAAACAAAAACTATCATTAATTATTAATTCAAAAAAATATATTAATATTTAATCTTTAACAGTATTAACTATAAATAATTTAGTTTAAAAATAAATTAAGCATCTATTGTTTTAAAAACAAATATAATTAAAATTTATCTTTTCAACGATTAAGAAGTTATGCGTTCTATTAAAAGCCTCGACTTTACTACAATCATAAAAAAATATTACAAGATCAATAGTGTCCCCCTGAAAATGTCGCCATTTTGCTGAAACTTTCTTTCAAAGATAAGAAGATAATTTACTGAAATAAAATCACCGGTAAACTAATTTTTTAAAAAATAATAATTGAAAGTTCATCCGTAGATTTACAAATTTAACTGATTGAATTGTTAATGATCGTAGTATTTAGGTACATGATATCTTGAATGTTAAATTATTGAAACGACTAAAATTATATGTGAATCATTTTGTAGAATTAGGTTGCAGGTGAACGAAGATTTCAAATCCTTCATAATAGATTAAAATATCTTGAAATAACTTTTAATTCACATCACGTTGAATTGAATATTGAATAGTATATAAATATTATATTACAATACCAATACCCGTATAAAGATACCTCAACAGTCAACCTAAATCTGTCTATTGTAGGCTTGCGAATAAGAAGTAAGTGATCACCCGACATGACAGTTGTTTTATTAAATAATTAAAAATCTCTATTATCATTTATATTTGAATTATTTCCATTCATACTTTTAATATATATCTATTATTTTGTTATTCTATTTAGTTATTTCTGTGTGAATCTATTTTGGTAACTTTTTGGATCAATAATAATAATATTAATTATTAATTTATACACTGAGATAAGCGATCAGTTATTGTTAACTGTCAATTAATATTCATTTTTAAATAATTAATCATATTTTACTAAAATAATATCTCAATACTCGCTATCTCTAAGGTAAATGTAATTATTTTTTAACTTAAAAAAATATAATATCATTAAATTATAAGAAGAAAATAAATTTTTATTTAAATTAAAATTATAAATAAATTGAATGTTTTATTTTGCCCAAATACTGGGACATAGCCAACTACTGAGAACATTTACCTTATTATTTATAAACTAAAAATATTTGAAAAAAAAAAAAAAAAATAATTTATTTACTTAAAAATATTTTTCTAAAAACTAAAATATAAAGTTAGATTTATTAACATTAAATAAACTCTTTTCTCAGTGTACATTGCGGTTTGTTTTCTTTAACGATGCAAATTAAAAATAAAAAAAAAAAAAACGATTGCAATCTCCCGATTAACTTCATATTCAACACAACTGCGGAACACAACTCTCGATATTGAATAATAATAATTAAAATAAAATGAAGGTAAAGACTCTCAATCCAAGGCACAAAAATGGTTTTTTTTTTTTGCTTTTTTGCATATTTTTTTCTGAATAAATCGTTGATTATCTCATTTTCAAAACATCGAACCAAGTAAGGACGAAATAAAAATGAAATTATATCAGAGCGTGTTAATCCCGCGTGAATTTAAAGTTTTAGGCGGTCTAATAATAATAATCAGCCCATTCGCGAATGCTGATGCTGCGGCTGCTGATGAGAATAAGATTTCTCTTGGATTTCTCTCTCACGCTGCTGCTGCAACTGCAGCTGTTGCTGTTGGTGCTGATGCTCTTCGTCTTTTCGCTGCTGCTCGATCTTCCCGTGCTGCCTGTGATAGATGCTCTTGTGATTCCTTAGACTGTTGAGACTCGAGTAAACCCGCTTGCAGATGTTACAGATAGGCTCCTTGCTCGGCCGGGTGTGCACGTTCTGTATGTGCCGCTTCAACCGCGTTAGGGAGGTCAGGTTTTTGTTGCAAGGCTCACATCGAAACTCATCGGTCGCGCTGCTGCCAGCCAACAGACCTGGCGGCAGAACCAGACACAGGGTTACTTTTTTTGGTTTCAGTTTGATTTGATTTTGGTTGACTCTATTCTATTTTTTAGCTTATTCATGGCACAAGTTTTTAGCGCCAATTTTCGATTTTTACTTTTAGCTTTATTTGATTTATATTAGATTTTATTAGAGGCGCACACTTATCCTCCTCGTCTCAAATGCGTCACATAAAAACATCATCATCCGAGGCTCTATTTATTTAGTTTCTAAATCGTCTGCGCCTCGCGTTTTATTTTTTTCTTTAATTTTATTTTACCAGTTTATTGACTCGTGCCTTTCGATTAATAGTAGGCCACACCATCACCACGACAAGCCGTGCCAGA